AGAGGTTGCAGAGAAAAAGGAACTCTCATACACTGTGGTGGGACTGAAAAATGGTGCAGCCTTTATGGAAAATGGTATGGAGTTTCCTCACACAATTACAGATAGATCTACCATATGACCCAGCTATTCCACTGCTGGGAATATACCCAGAGGAATGGAAATCATCATGTCAAAGTGTTAACTGTTCTCCAATGTTTATTGCAGTACTATTTACAATAGCCAAGACTTGGAACCAGCCTAAATGCCCATCATTGTACGAGTGGGTAAGGAAAATGTGGCATATCTACACAGTGGAATTCTACTCTGCTATAAAAAAGGATGAAGTACTGCCATTTGCAACAACATGGATGGACCTAGAGAGAATTATAGTAAGTGAAACAAGTCAGGCACACAAAGAGAAGTACCACATGTTCTCACTTATTTGTGGGAGTTAAAGAAAAATAAATAAATAAACACGCAAACAAATAAAGGGTGGCAGGGGAAGAAGACACAACAATCACAATAGTTCCTTGAACTTTTTAAGACAAGTGAATAGATATGATGTGAGGGGAGGGGAGGGGGGAGAGGAATGGGTAAAGGGTCATGAAAATCAATTACAATGTATATTGAGTAGTTAAAATTAAAAAATTAAAAAATAATAAACTTCAAAAGAATTTTTTTTTGACTGCCACTGACCATGGGTAACCGTAGAAAGCAAAACTGAGGGTCGGGGGGACTGCTGTAGGCTGAGAACCTTCCTTGATGAACTGGTTATCTAAACTCTCCTCCCCAAGCTTCCTATGTTACTCTTTATCGCCTCAACAAGTTATTTATTTTATTTTTCTCATTGTGTTTGCAGTAAACTGTAACTACCTCTTTTGTATTTATCTGTCTCGCTCAATTAGAGTGAACGCTGATAGGTCAGGACCCTTGTCTATCTTGTTCCCCATTTATGGGCCCAGCTATCTTCCTGGAAGATAGTAGGTGCTCAATTAACATTGCTGATTAAGTGAATAAAGCACCATCCCTGCCACTGAAGAGTTAGCCCATCGTCTAGGTGGGAGACAGTGTCGTGGCAGGTGCAGCTGGGAGGCAGGCAGAGCGTGGAGCGACTGAGGCAGCCTCGGATGCCAGTAAACTGGCTCTTTTGTGAGATAAGCAGCCTCCTCATTTGTTATTCCTTGTGCTGACATATGAGTTTGAAGTTTAGTAGCTTAACTGTTTTTCTGCTTTGTTCTGCGTTTGTTTAAACTACGTGTGGATTGGTTCCCTTAATTGTAAGTGATAGGAGCATCTCAAGCTAACTTAAGGAAAGAGACTTTACTTGATGGACAGCAGGATTTTCAGAGGAAGCATGGCACAAACAAACCACAAGGACAAGGAAGTGCCATGCTACAGGGGCAAGTGGAGCCAGTGACTCAGATGCTCTGTGGCTCTTGCCATCTCTCGTCTCTGTTTTTCTTTGCATTTTGACTTCATTTTCTTTTTTTGCAGGCCAACATCCAGGTCACTCCTGAGCTCACACCCCACGGGCACCGTTAGCATGGTTGGGTCCATTTTCCTCTTTAGGGAGTCTCAGGGAGGGACTCTGATTGGTCCAGTTTGTATCTCCTGTTTCCCAGGCATGGTGTAGTCAACTAATGCCAGGGGCTGAGATCTTGTAGTTCATGGAAACTTCTGCGGGAAATACGTGATTTAAATGCAGGAGTTGAAGTCATCGAAGGAGTTGCTATACCCAGGAAAGGGAAGACAGGATTGGAGGACAAGAGAGTAGTTTTTCACTTAAGTAGAAAGTCTTTATTTCACTGGTTTGAAAAACTCACCACAAGCACCTCTGTGTAAGTGGAAACCAGCAAGCAAAATATGCTCCCTCAGGATCAAAGAGGGCTGTAGGAGATTTGGAAAACCAAAATTCTAGGTCCTGTATACTTTGTGTGCTATTTTGTCCCAAGAGTCTTGTTCAGGGATCTGGAGTAGGACTTCGTTTCTCTGTTGGAGTGGAGCCAATGTTCTTGTTGTTTTCGGCAACCGAATTCCCTTTCTGACCTGTTCCCTTTCCCACTGCAGATTGTGCTTGAGAACAGCAGCCGAGAAGATAAGCACGAATGTCCCTTTGGCCGCAGCAGCATAGAACTGACCAAGATGCTGTGTGAGATCTTGAAAGTGGGCGAGCTGCGTAAGTACACCTGTTCCCACGTGGGGTGAAGCTTGGCAGAGACCCGGGGCCAGGGTCGTGCCCCTACCTGGACAAAGACTCCCCAAGGTATCGACAGCTTTGCACGGTCATTACTGTGGATTGATCATTACTTGGCTTAGGTTTCCAGTGTACATATTTCTGCAAGTCTGCTCTGGAGATAAACATTGTTAAAACCTACAGGAATGGAGAAATTTGCAGGTATTGTTGGCTGAGTTTCAAATATTACGAAAATGAGTATATATTAAAACAGACTTTGCTCTGTTTTGGAAAAAGATCTATGGATTTCTTTTTTAACATTACCATTTACAACCTGCCAGTAGATCATTTTCTTTTCTTTCTTTCAAAAACAGTTTTTCTCTATAAAGAAAAAGTGACTACCTTAATGAAATTCTCTTGTCCCAGTGTTTGCGTCGTTTGCAGCACTTTCTGTAAGAAGGAAGGAATTATTGAAGAAAACAGGTAGCTGAAAGTGAAAAATGGGGTCAGAGATGTGCTACGGCTCTTTTTCTTACTTATGTCACAAAAGGCACATGAGGACATCCAGGGAAAGAGAGGGTAGCAATCTTCTTGCCTTTTGCTCATTGGCAAAACTTGCTTCTACCTGTGAATGTGGAGATGATCGAACCTGTCGTTACTGTCACTGTCAATGTTGACCACTGTTACTGTCAATGTTGAGCCTCCTTAAAGCGGCCGAACTCCCTTCCCTCCAACGTCTGTAAAGCTGGCATACATATAAATCGTTCCTCACAGGCCTAATAACGTGCGTGCCAGATTACTGTCACTGTCAATGTTGAGCCTCCTTAAAGCGGCCGAACTCCCTTCCCTCCAGCGTCTGTAAAGCTGGCATACATATAAATCGTTCCTCACAGGCCTAATAACGTGCGTGCCAGAGAAGACTGTTTATGCCAGAAAAATGTTGGGGTGTTCGGTATTATTGTGGAAGCATAAATATTCAGTTAGCTGCTTGAGAGCTTAAAACAATGGTCTGAGATGATTAATGGGCAGGAATCCAATGATTAAATTGCAAAGGGGGTTGTGTTTTATTTGTAGTGTAGAATTGACTGTAGGTACTGCTGAGATAAAATGGAAAATTTAGTACTTAGTAAGGGAAAAAACTAAGAATTTGAGTCTGTTTGGCCAAGCCAGAGACCTTACCCTGCAGTGAGATCGGGTGGGGGGATGTTGACACAGACATGGAAGTGCCATGCGAGTTCATTACTGACGAGCCCCCACCACGGCGTTAGATCCGTAGCAACCCGACCTGAGAGATTCTGTGTTAATCTGCTCTGGTTCACTGCTCGTCAGATGCTAAGTTTCAGTTTACGTGGATCCTGGACACGAGTTGTCCTTACTCCCTGATCACACTAACCTGTAGAGATGTCAGTCTGCAGCACTGCTACTGTTTACTCAGCGTGAGAGTGTAAGCCCTGAATCAGACAAGTCCCATCGCATTCCTCCATCAGATAAACGTGACCGTTTCGTGTTTATCTCGATTTCATAGTGGAAACTGTTGCAAGTCACTTGCTAACACAGCGTGTCCAGGGTGCCTGAGTGCGCGCGGTGTTCTCCCGGGCTGGGACTTCTGTGTCCCTATTTCTGAGCTCCATCACCCTCTTCTCGCCCCTCCATTTCTATCCCCCCATGGCACTTTGGCTGTCATCTTGATGGCAGCAGAAGGCATGCCCTCCTGTGCTGAGGTGTGCTGTACCTGGCTCTTCTTCTATGCCCAGCGGATGTACGTCTGTCATGCTGAAGGTTAACACAGAAAAGTTCGTGGAGTAGGGGAAGGAGCATGGTGAGACTCCAGGGGGGCTGGGTTCTAGCTCTGCCACTTAGGACCTTTGTGTCCTTGGGAAAATTACTCACAAACTTCACTGTGCTCTTATATCCCCACCTTTTCCCAGAGTAGAACATCTAGAAATGGATTGGTGGCATTTGGGGTGAGCATTTGAGTAGTTGTGTGCATTTTGTGGCTGACATTGCAGAGACAGTGGTGAGATGAGCTCCTTGGGAACAGATGACAATCTGGGGGGACTACCTTGGGAGAGATGGCCAAATAGCAGGGTGTGTGCAGGCAGGGTAAATGCAGGCCTGATCTGGCCTTCAAGGCCGTGGGACCCCATCTGGTGGATGGAGGGGAACCGAGATGGCAGAGTCTGAGCAGTCAGTCCTGTTCAGGTGAGTGTCCACCCTGTGCTTGGGGATGGGTGGGTACAGAACAGGGAATAGGGTTTGACCCCTGGCAGGTGTAGAGCAGCCCCTCTGGCCTTTTGAAGACCCCGTAGTCAATCCAGGAAGCAGGACAGAACCCCATTCCTACGGGCTGACGCAACAGAGTGGAGAGGAAGGCAAAAGCTCACGGATTCCTAGGGGGGCCACAGATGATCTTCTCGCACTTAGACCATTTCATCTCCCACCTTCTGGTGGAGAGAAGATTCCCGACATTGTGCCACAGCCTACCCGATATCTGCTTAGGCCTAATTTCTGCCCAAGACTGAGCTTGGACAGCTGGGGCTTGGCATTGTCACGGCAGTTTCTCCTCATCTAAGATGACAAATGCATTTTTTTATTTGTCCAGTTAAAATCTATTGAGTACTTACAGTGTGCCAGGGGCTACAAAGGTGAACGTTTACACATGGTCCCTGTCCCCTAGGAGCTTCCGGAAGCATCTCACACTTCAGGAAGTGAGAGACCGTGCTGGGACTGATACTTTGTCTTAAGAGTTAGACATCCTTGTTTGTTTGTTTGTTTTTTAAATAAATGCCCATTATCTGACCTAAAGCTCAAATCTGTAAAGCCCATTCTGAACATTTTTCAAGGCTTACAAAAAACTTTCACGTTTCTGAAGTCAACATGCACAAATGAGTTGTTTTCTGCTCATGAAATATTAAAGGATTGCAACATTCTGATTGAATGCTAGATATCAAATGATAAAACACCCTGTGTAAGAGGAAAATTGCTTTTTAATGGGTTTGCATTTTGCCCATTGCCATATTAAATAAGTTACTGATATGAAAAACAAATCTGAATGCACCCTTATGTTGAAGAAGATATCTATTTTTCTTCTGAGGAAAATTAGTTTCACATGCAAATTCATTTTCTTTTGGTTTGTACGTATTTGTTTTTATCCATTCCCAAGTTCGTGGTTCTCAGCACTTCTCAGATTTGTGTTAATAAATGACCTTGAAAACCATGGTCACTTTAAGTTCTATAAGTGCTGAGACCAAAGAAGTACCCAATTAAAAATCTAACTTGTTGGGAAAAAAGTATGTTTATAAAAGTAGAAAGATTCAATTTTCTAGAAATGGTTTCTCTTTTGATTTTAATTTTAGGTCTCTTGAGGAAACACATTTCTGAAATACCAATTATATTTTGGCATCTAAAGCAAACACATTAATGTTCAATTAATTACTGATACCAAATATTTATGTACAGTTTGTTTAGGTTGCTTCAAAAAAAAAATCACTATTTTTCTGCTTTCCAATTATTGACATTGTGAGAGGCAAATGTTATCTCTAATAATGTGGTCTAAAATAATGTCTATGTATACTCTCAGAGCACTTTATCAAGGCTATTTAATTGAATTCTGTAACACCCTCAGAAGTTAATCAAGACCAGTACTGCTTATGTTTATTGATGAAGAGAAGACTTTCACCTACTTACTGCATGTTGTCTAAGGTCACTGAGCTCAGGGTGGTGTTCAGGATGTCTGAGAACAGTGTAGAAAGAGGCAGGCAGGAAGGAACAGTGGCTGCCTTTGGGCATCTGAATGACCCATCTTTGAATCACAGCCCAGCCTCTAACTGGAGGCCTTGGACATGTTTCTCCTCTCTTCTGAGCTTCTGATTCCCTACCTATAAAATAAAGGTAATGCCTGCTGCACACAGTTGGCGGGAGGCTTAAATGAAATAGCGAAAGTTGCCTTAGTTGGGCGATGAGTAGTTTCTTAAAAGTCATAAAATCTTACTTTCCATGAGCCAACTGCAGGTTATGTGAGGGTGGGAGGGTGATCTGGCCTAAGTGACAGCTGGAACCAGGGTCTGGGACAATGTCCCTCATTTCTTCACTCTCAATGTATTGGCTAAAAGTATTCTTTTTAACCTGCTTTTGCATGAGGCTTTTTGTGAGCAAGGAACACGTTTTCCTGTAGTTTCAATTTTAAAAATTACAAAGAAGAACATTTATGGACCTGGATGTGGTCTCATGTCCCCATAGCCTGGGTTCTGTCATTGGAAACCCCAGTTAGAAGAATAAGATTGAAGTAAAAGGAGGAGCAAGTTTTCGAGAGAAGAGGTAAATTTGTTTGCGTGGGGTCGGTGAGGGTGGAGGGAGGAGGGGGTTGGTGGCCTTAGAGAAGGGTGGCATGGCTCAGGGAAATAATGCACAGATGCGCATTACAGATGTGAAGTCCTTAAGAAGATACCCAGCTCCTAACTGGGGAGAGAAAACAGTGGTAGCTGTTGTTTTTGTTATTTTAGCACTTGCTCCAAAAGGAATAGTACATTGCTGACAAATATAAGCAAAACTTGATTTCTGATGCAAGGTTAATTGTTTACCTTTTGAATACATAGCACCTTTCCCAATTATATTCCAGTGTCAAATAGGACTCGGATATTTCTTTCTCTCACTCATTTATTTATTCCTTTAATAACTGTGAGACTCCTTGTCTGTGAGTCAGGATCCTACTAATCACTGGTGACATGGATTTAGAATGTATTTTCTATCCTCAAGCAGCTCACATTGCTAACTAGAGTGACCTTCACATAAATAAATCAATGTAAAACATTTACGATTTGTAACATTACATTTAAGTTATGTTGATATCTCTAGGAAACAATGTTTGGTTCTTTCTGTGCATGGAGAGCTGGGCAGGGCTGGGAAGGGAGATTCTTGGGAGGTGTGATGGAGAAGAGACACCTGTGTGTTGGGCAGGGGCTTGCAAAGATGAAGGAAAGAATAACCAGGCAGGCACGTCTGTGTGGATGGTGGGGGCAGCTGCTGAAAATTC